TAGATTGTCAATGGAGAATGTCCGCTTTTCGCCCCTTTCGCTGTACGCTTGGGTCTCAGAGGACGAATGCGCACCGGATCTTTGAGGACTTCAAAGTCGACCGCGCCCCACGGCTATCCCGCCGGCTCTCGAGTGTCGCAGCGCGACGCGCTTCACCCCTCGACTCCGCGCTGCGAGTCGATCTGGAGACGACGCTCGGCCACCGCCAACTCCACCCTGACGTGACGCACATGCGCCGCGTGTCCCCCCTGAGGGTGTCCTTGTATAGTATAGTTGGTTGCGAGTTAAAAAAAGCCCGTTCCGCACCCGCACCCAGCACCAGTACACATGCCGTTCTGGCGCCCCTCGGCTGGCCAGAGGACGACTCACAATGCAAATTCGGAAAGACATCACGAGGGGCCGTATAAACGGTGCCGCAGCGGCCCGGGACACTAACAGTGAGTTGCTGCCACTCGCCCGGCCTCCTCCCCCTCGGGGTCGCCCGGAAAGTGGGCTTGCGCACCGGCGCCCCCCCCAGCACGCCGACCCGAGGTGTACCCTCCGGCCACCTGGGAGGGGAGCGGAGTCCGATTTTGGCCCATTGGCTTCATCATGATGGATACGGAGGTGGCCAGCCCTTGGTTGTGCACCTGCGGCGCGAATAGGAGGTGATCTCGGCGGACGACGGCCATGCCGAGAGCGGGTGCAGCGCGGAAGAGGGTGCGCAGCGCGTCGCGGCCGCGCGCATGGGAGCCGGGGGGATGGCCGGAGGGGGCGGGACGCCTGCATGTCCTCGAAGCTCCCAGCCGCATACGCAAGCCGAGCCGCGAACGGCGGGGAGGGAGTTTTGGAGGGTCAGCCAAGGACGCGCATGGCGAGTGACAAACTAACGCAACCTCCCCTGTACCTGGTTTCTCATCGTGAGAGGACCGTGAGTTGAGCTTGAGGAAATCGAGGGACGCGACCCACTTCGCCACAGACGGTCCCGCGCCTCGCCGCTATGACCGCTGCACGGCCCATACCATCCGCTGTGCAGCGGTCTTTGTCCGGAGTGAAAAGTCCAACGCGCTCGTCGGTGACGGTGTCCCTCGATTTCGCCGCGCTCCGGCACCGCTCCGGGACGCACCCACACGCCGGCGAAGCACGTCAAGCTGCTGTACGGCCCCGGAATCGCCTCCCCTCGCTTAGCTAGACTGAGAGTTATTGTGCACATGGTTAGTCTCTACAATATACTCACTGACACCCCCCCTCCCAGAGCTCGTCCCGGTCCGCCACGGCCATCCTCGGCCTCCGGAGGGCCCCGGCCGCGGCGCGGTGCGGCGGCGTCACAAATCCGACGGCAGAGCACCGGGACGCGGTCGGGCGATCTGAGGTCCAGTGAGGCGTATGCATTGCCCATCCAGGGCTATCACATGGACCTATCAACAGGCGCCTGCGGCGGAGCAGGAGGGCCCAGCGCACAACCCCTGGTCAACTCAGGGTCCACACCCCGTAAACTTCTCCACACACGGAGTGAAAAGTCCAACGCGCTCCGTCGGTGTGGCGGCGTCCCCGGATTTCGCCAAGGGCCC